CGTTCCTGGGAAGCACGACTGTGTTCCTGGTGGAAGTGTGGTAAAAAGTAGAGTGAAACAAAATAGATCAAAAGCTGGAGGTTAGTAAAGAAAAAAGAACTAGACAAGGAAAGATGGCATGAAGAAACATGAGAACAGTAAATGAAAATGAGGGCATGCAAAAAGTATGGTAAGTGAATAAGAAAATTTAATATGAGGATAGGATGATTAGAGAGAAGGGGAAATAATTCTGTGGAGTTTATAATCAATACAGGAAATAAAATACAGGAGGTTCATTCATCAAATATCACACCCTTAAACTCTGCAAGACTCCCTCGCCTCTGCTTTTCTCTGTGTCCATCCGAAAGATCAAGAACCACTGCACCCATCATCCTTTTGACTATTGGTAATCATTAGATGCGTCTTCTCTCCTCCTCTCCCGCCCCCACAAACCAAGTGCTAGACCCAAGATACCTGAAGGTGAGGACTGTGTTTGAACTTCTGTCTCTTGTGACAATTGTCTTGGCTAGGCTAGAGTGCCTCTATAATTCATTTACTTTAATTAAAAGATATTATTCACAGTAATCTGGGCAAGCTTCATCCCATCAGTTGAAAGGCCTAAGGAGGATAACTGAGGTTTCAACCATCAGTACCTGCCCCAGATTTCAGGCTTGCCAGTGCCTGCAATTGCAAAAGCCAATTCCTTGGAATAAATCTTTTTCCATGTATATAACCTACTGTTTCTCTCTGGTAGGACCCTGACCGATACACCCCCAGACTTTAAATTACACTTAAAGTTTGTGTCACAGTAACTGAGCACTTTTTTAAGCGTCTTAAATTTCCTCCTTACTCATGGGTGGTAATTTTGTGCCATTCCTCCCCTCCCCCAAGCATGCCAGGTGCAAAGCATGTGTTCCGATCATGAGTTTGTATTGATTGTGGTAAGTCTTAGATTTTAACTAAAGGAAGTAGAAGTTAGAATTTTTTTCAATAAAGGCGATTCCTTACCACTTGGGCCAGGCTCTATGCATAGTGATTTTTTGAGATGTGTTGCAACCAAGTTTTGAATTAACAGTGATCTTAGCATTGGTCACTCCGTATGAGTTTTAGGAATCTTTTAACCACATGGGGCTTCTCTTTGTACGGGTGACTTGAGAATTTTACCATGGAATGGAGGAACTACTGATAGCTATACTGACAAATGTTGGTTGAATCACAGATACCCTGGAGTGAGGTCTGGTTTTAACCTTCAAACAGTCTAAAGTGTAGTATTTCCAAGGAATCATTTATCAGATGTATGGGCTCAGCTCAAGCACTTGTTTCTGCCTTTTATACCACTGTGAGTATTTATTGTAATTAATCCTGATAATATTAACACTTAGGCCTTAGACGTCATTAAGGCTCTCGGTGCTGTGGGAGTGGAAAAGTAATTTTCCTCCCAGCTTTCTAAGTTCTTCTGGCTGCCCTAGTAGTCAGATTAACATGAGAAAATGACCAGATTTAGTATGGGTGTGCATATGTGGGTTCCACAAGAATGTGGGACCTGAAGATACATGGGGCAGTGCAGCTTATGTGCTGTTCTGGACCAAGAAAAGGGAAGCAGGGGTCTGGGACTTCACAGGGAAAGCAGGCAATTCACAGGTTAGATGAAAAGGAGCAAATGTGCCAACTTCTCATATGTTGAGGTGACTCTGCTCATATGCTAAGGGTCCCTTCCCGAAGCAGATTTTCCCATCTGAATTTCTTTTAGAAGTTCAAAGGGGAGGATCAAAGTTTCTTTCTGAGTCTTTTGTTTCTTAAAAATAATTGGCTTAAAATAATCAGTATCCCAAAAGGTATATTTTGGGATGGCAAACTGGTTCCACACAGAGGAATGAAGCTCAATGGCAAAATTAAGCGACTTGAGCTTCAAAACCTCCCACCCATGACCCTTTCATTCAGTGCGGAGTGTAGTGAGGGTAAACTGTTTGCCTCAGTGAGGTGAGATCCTAATGAGTGAGCATCTCAGCTTAATCCTTCCATTTCTTTTCTCTGGATTTAGTTTCTGTGTAAACACTCACGCTTAGAAAAATCTACTTCAACAATGCAAATGCAGCAGAAAGAATGAATTAGGAAGAGAAGATAGTAAAATGTTTTCCTTTTTTTAACTTGTTCAGCTAATGAATAGTAGCTGAAAAAAGTAGAGAGCCCTTTCACAGACGAGCCAGGAGGGAGCAGAGAACATTTGGGAATTGGGAAAAGGAGTGGCTCGTCCCCTGCATGATGATACAAGGAAGAGAGTCCCTCTGAGGCTTTCTGTGGTCGGGGCCACTGTTAGTTCACATGATACTTACAAATCAAAAACTAACCACCCTTGGGTGGTTCCCTTCCTGGATATTTTGAAATCCTTTTGAAGACAACCCTAAAAGCACTAAGCACAATTATAAAAAAAGCCAAGGCAAACAGCACTGCAACTGTGAGACAGCTTTCCTATGTACATCCCTCACAGTTTGAATGCCATCGTGAACTTCAGGCTGCGGAATGTAGGCCTGGAAGCCAGGGATAAGGGAGAGTCTGTAGGGTCCCTGCCTGGCTGCCTTTCCCAGCATTCTGGAGCCCATGGGGGCTGGGTGTCACTGCAGATGCCTGTGAGAAGCCTGGAGAGGCAGTCAGAGCCACCCTTCCTGCCCCCGGGACTTAGAGCATCACTGTGAGTTTCTGCGTATTATATCCTCCCTTTGTTGTGCTTCCCTCCTTACAGCTTTGCTATCAGAAGTGAAGGGAGGTGAAACTTGTCAGCATTCAAGTAAACAATAAATTAATTTGCTCTCATGAGCAGTCCAGAAGAACTCATGGTAGGATGATTTAGAACTAATAGAAAACCCAGTGAGGTACCACGGTAGCCAACGAGATTGGCAAAAGTTTGTAAGCATGAGGCCACCAAGTGCTGGCAGGGATGTGGAGTGATGGGACCACCTGTGCATTGCTGGAGGCAGGGCACATGTGTGCGGCTGCTTCAGGAAGCAGCTCAGCATTATCTCACACAGCCAGTGATGTGTGCACTTGAGGAGAGCAGTTATGTCTTAGACACGAACCCTTCTCGGTAGCCCTGTTGACAGCACTTGAAAAACTAGAAATAAGCCAGAGATACATGCACAGCAGGACGGGTGATTCAGCTCTGGTATTCATGCACCAGTGAGGACTGATAGACTATAGCTGTGCACATGGCAGAGCCTGAAAGCATGAATTTGCATGCAAGAAGCAAGTCACAAAAGAATGCAGTGTGATTCAGTTTCGAAGAAGATGAAAATTGGTGAAAAGCACACCCTGTTGTTCAGGAATGTAAACATAGATGGCAGATCTTAAAAGGAAATGGTTATTACAAAAGTCAGATGTTTGCCTTTGGGAATGATATGATCAGGAAGGTAGACATGGCAGTGATTGGAGGGATTGCTTTGTAATTATTCTCTGAACCACATGTTCATGGTTTGTGCACGTCTTTGTTTTTCTCATACACAAAAGTAGATGGAGAATGGTTCCCTCAAACAAAGTATCCCCTTACACCTAAACCACACTTGCCCCTTGTGGGTGGTTCTGTCTCCGTGGTTCTTCAGTCCAGCCACCCCCTGCTTCCCCACCTCACCACTCGGGAGGTCTGGTGTTTCTCCCTCAGCCGCTGGGCTGCAGGTCATGGAGTTTGGAGGTCGGGGGTACAAATCCTTTTTCTGCCTCTTGGGTGACTTTGAAGTCCAGGACTTGAGAAGTTACCTGGCCGAGACCCCCCCAGGGCTGGGTGGAGACCCCCAAGACCATGGTAAACCTGTGATGAACATCCCCTCTCCACCCCAGACACTGTCCCCAACAACACGACCCTTCAAGGAAAGGTAAAGGCTTTGCTCTGTAACTCAGAATTACAGGCCATGTAGGGTAGGCCATGTGTCTGAATCTGTTCTAAGGAGCTGGATGGAGAGTGTGTGGCTGTGCCCTGGGGTAGGGGCAAAACTGAGATTTTCACAGCCGAGCTCTTCCTCCTCTCGCTGGGGGACCAGGGCCACCCAGGTTGCCAGTGGAAGAGGCGTCAGAATGGCAGCACAGCGCGTGGTCTCTTACAGAAGCGGTTTAGCCTGGCTACTGGACAGGAGCCACATCTGTGTGCACAGTACTCTGTGTGACAGAGACCACCCAGGAGGTAGGAGCTGGAGAGTGCCAGTCATTCCACCTCTCTGACCAACAACAACCTAGGGGAAAAACAGGACAGTGTCCCCTATGTCTGTCTTTCTTGCAGCTGACAGGCCAAGGTGAAAATAACCCTCGAAGGAGACTGAGCTGCCAGTGAAGGACCCAATGATGCAAATATTTCTAATGCATCGCTCCTCCTTCCAGAAGGATGTGAGGAACAGACCAAGTCACACCAATGGTCAATTTGACATACAACCTCAAAGCCTAACAACTGAGCCTTTTGCTTTGCAATTCGCATTTGCAGAAGATTCTAGGGCCTCACCTTTGCAGACAAACACCCAGTTCTAAGCAGCATTTCATCAAAGAATATCATTCTTTACCAACTCATTAGAAGCTAAACAAGGCAAGGGTTGCAGGCAGCACGAAGAGCAACTTTGCAGTTCTTTCGATGGCTCCAGTCTTACAGCCCCAGATCTTAGCAAATGGATAGAAAAGCCTTCTTGGCCTTTTCCACCAGTACTCCGTTTATTTCTTCCCTTTCCCTTCATCCTCTCCCCCTTTGCCAGAGTTGCCAGTGAGACATGGGTTGTGGCTTGGAGGAGGGATTGACAGTGGAATTGGGCACAGTATGGGAGAAGGTTGATTGCAGCTATGGAAAAAGTGAATTGGTGTTTGACATTTCGCAAATCTCTTTTCAAGATTCAGTTATATATTATGTTTTCGTCATGCAAAATTCAATGAAAACACTATTAGAGTGCTTGAAGAGTATGTTAGGATCTTGCCCCCGTTATAATGGGAGTGACCATAGGAAGATGGTCTTTCCAGGGGACTCATCCATGTACTGCCCCTTTTCCTCCATTTAGGAAGGAATAGTGTCTCCGAGTGACCTGGACCTCGTCATGTCTCACGGCCTGGGCCTGCGGTATGCGTTCATGGGACCCCTGGAAACCATGCATCTCAATGCAGAAGGTAGGGGCTCAGGTGGGAATTTTGTGCAGTGTAGTGTTTTTATGGGTTTCATAAACAATCACAGGTTGCCTTTTCTTACAACTGAATAGAAACAGTATCATGTACAAGAGATGGTGGCCAGCCCTGGTCTTCACAGTCGAGGTGGGACAATGGCTGTGTCCCGGGCTCCATGTGGGACAGCACTCAGGGGAGGACCAGAAGGAGAGGTGGGGGATGTTGTGGAGACTTTGCTGCCTATCATCCAGCCTGAGAGAAGATAAAGTGGTGTTTTCCTGAGAAAGATAATGAAATTATTTAGAGACAAAGAAAAGTATAGAAGCAACCACATGAACCTCTGCTAGACTTACATTTTGCCTAAATATGGGCAGCTTATAAGTGTGATTGGCTGAGCTGTAGGCTTCTTTCTGGAAGCTGGGGAGCTATGAAGGAGGGGCTTCTACTGGGAAGTGGCCAGGTTGTGCCATTGGTTACCCTGGAAGCCACTTTAAAGGGTAAGCAGGAGGTAGGTGCGAGCTCATGATCTGGTGACACTAAAAGCAGAGTCATTTGAGACAGGTGAGAAGCTTCTAAGAATGAAACTGTCCACCAGATTTTAAGCCATTTAAAAAGAAGACATCATTTGAAAAACAGGCAATAAAACCTACACCCAATTAAAATAATGAATCAAAAAAGCTATGGATGAAAATCTGGGGAAGTGTCTCAAATAGTATTATGATGGCTGTCTCTTGGTGTTGAAATTATAAGCAACTTTTATTACCTTTTTACTTTGTGTTGTCATGAATTTCTGTAATTATTGTATGTTATTTTTCATGATTAAATTGTAAACTTGTAAAACATATGCAGAAAGAGAAAAGGAATATTTTATTCACCTCCACGGTCCAGAAGAAGTGACCAGAATAGTATGTGTGTGTATGCATATCTGTCTGTTCATGACTTTTGTCGGGCTTAAACCAGAGCGAAAGACTGGAAATGGCAGGCAGAGAGGTTTGGGGTCAAGACATGGCAGGGAGAACTTTCTAGTGAGTGGAACTGATGTGGAAGGAGAGGTGACACTGTGAGTGGGATGTTTTGATGTTCACAGGAGTCTCGCATTGAGGTCAGAAGTTTAAGTAGATGACCTCTGAGTGTCTGCCTTAGATTTTATAATTTCATGAGGTTTGGGTAATTCTTTGATCAATTTCCACCACAGTAATTAATGAAATAGAATTTCCAATAGATAATTCCAAGCAGTTTTACCAGCTATATTCTTGTGCAGAGCAGGTGTACACCTGGGGCCTTGAGTGGATTAGTCATGTGTCATGCAAATGTGTTTTAATAGGTGACTTGATTCTTCCTTAACACCCAGCTGAAGGGAACAGGGATTCTCATCTGGCACCTGCATGTTACTTTTGTGGTAGGATAACAGTTGCGTGTAGGAGGATAATGTAAAGACAGACTTCATAAGAGTGAAACTGGAGTTTGTGTGTTTTTTTAAAAGATTTTATTTATCTATTTTCAGAGAGAGGGGAAGGGAGGGAGAAAGCGGGGGAGAAACATCAATTGGTTGCCTCTCGCACGCCCCCAACCGGGACCCGGCCTGCAACTCAGGCACGTGCCCTGACTGGGAATCAAACCAGTGACCGCTTGGTTCACAGGCCAGTGCTCAAGCCACTGAGCCACACCAGCCAGGGCAGAAGTGAAACCAGAGTTTTGAAATGTCATTAAAATAAAGTCTTGGGTACTTTTTAAATGTTTTTCAACCAGAACCTTAAAAGTGATGAACATATTGAAGCATTTGAGATATGTGAGCACATTGCTGGAAAATCACCATGTTTTTCTTTTTTCTTGAGAAAAATAAGATAATTCAGGTATCAGGGGAAGCAGATCGGGAGAGACCTGAGAATTGCTTTGACTCTTAAACAAGTAGAAACTGAAGCTGATGAAACCAGAAACTCAGGAATCAAACAGTGTGGACCATAACAATTTTTCACACAAAGCAGATTTGATAAGAAAACCTAATTGACTTAATATGATAATGGTGGACGGATGTAGTTTTCAACTTCAGAGCATTCCAAGGACCAGAGTTAGACAGTTATAAGATCGGGCTCGGGGCCATTGGAAATGGTCATAATTCTTAACAGTGTCACCCAGGATATATCAAGATTGGAGTCAGGGGAGTTTTCTTTTTTCTGAAGTTATTTTCATAAAGCCAGCATCTCAGGTTAAGGCTAGTTATTGTCTTAAAAGCTACAGTTTATCTAAGAGGGGTAAAAATATTTGACGATTTGTTTTTAATCTAATAAAATAGCACCTAAGAAAGAGGAGGCCAGCATGCTTCCTTTGCCTTTTGGCTACTTTTTAAAAGTAACACCCACTTAGATAATGTTCCTGTGTTTTGGGACCTTTTTGATCTTCCCTTTTAAGTTCTGTCTCTTAAAGGCAGGTGAAGTTACGTGAGTGTGGCTATGTAGGCTGTGTGAAAACCAGACTTCTCTGGTGTGGGTAGCAATGAGGGCTCTCCAAAAAACAGCAACCAGGTCATGTCCCAGCTGCTGCCTCCACAGTGGCATTGGCCACACACACAGGTGCCTGCTCTGTAAATGCAGACAGGCTCTCCGCCACTCCATCACCTTGGGTTGTGCTGAAGGCTCAAGGCACTGTCTCACCTTCAGGGCTCACAGCCAAAGAATAACAAGTCAGAAAGCAGCAGGAGAAGCTAAATCCAATCTCATGATAATTCTTTCTCCTGTTTTTCCTTATTCCATATAAGCATCTCTTAAGAAATTAGGTTCAAAGTCTTCTAAAAAGCTAAGCTCTCCTGAGAGTTTTTGGAAGTACTGGACATGGTTGAACAAAATAGAGGGCACGAAAGCATAAAAAGGAAAACATAGGGGAGGCTCACTTCATAGTAATACAGAGGAGGGACAGGCTGTGGGATAGAAGGTAACGTGGCTTTTTCTTTTCATTTCCACTGAAATTGTTATTCTAGAACGTTCCCACTCAGTCCTCCTCTTATACTGCTCTAATGGAAGGGGAGATATTGCAAATACTAGTATGGTAAGGAATTTGCTCGGACAAGGTAAATAATTGTGATACTAAGTCACCATGAACTTGTACGTTTAAACTAGTGGGAGAGCCATCCTGCGGTGTTGATTCTCCACCCACACTCTGACTGTGTGGCTTCTTGCCATCACCATGAACTTGGGGCTTGTCCCCCCATGAGCCTGAGTGTCTATAGAAGAGGTTTTTATACTTGTAAGACTGAAGTTTTAATTTGGTTTCCTGGAAAAGTGCGCGGGGGAATTATGAATTACACTATAAAGAGCTTTTCTGTGTTTTATTCTATCTTAAAGAAATAAATGCCCTTTTAAATTAAGCCACATATTTTATAAAAAGCAGGGGGAAAGAGTTCTCAAAAGCCCCTGGGAGATTCAGATGACTCTACAGGGACACTAAAAGGTAAATGCTTGTTCAGAAAATGTGAAGTGATCCAGAGATGAAACACAGTCCTTGAATTACACCCATGGTGTCTTGCTGCTCAGGGAGGACAAGGAGACGGAACTGGTTCCAGGCAGGTCCCAGTAGGCCTCTGTCTCCCTGAACATGGGTGCATACACAGCTCCAGCCAATCCTCCCATTTTCTTCTCCTTTAATATCTTTACAACTTATTTGATTCTTGTGATCTCTGCCCCACAAAAGGAATAGCTGTATTTGTGTCTAAATTTTACCACCTTTAGTTTGAATAAACAAACACATAGATGAAGTAAAAAAAATGTTTAATTTCTGCCCTGGCTGGTGTGGCTCTTTGGATTGAGCACCGGATTGCGAACCGAAGGATTGCCAATTGGATTCCCAGTTAGGGCACATGTCTGGGCTGCGGGCCAGGTGCCCAGTTGGGGGCGTGTAAAAGGCATCCACATATTGATGTTTCTCTCCTCTCTGTCCCTCCCTTCCCCTCTTTCTAAAAATAAATAAATAAAATCTTTTTAAAAAAATGCTTAATTTCCAAAGGAAATAAATGTAAAGGTTTTTTTGTGTGTTCTGGAAATGCTGAACCCTCTAAGATAACTGGCCAGGGCTGAAACCTTTAGAAAGTCTTCTGGAATCCTGAATTGTCAGGTTATACTTGTGTTAAATGAAATGAAACTCCTTATTTTAACAAGAGATTTTTCACTACTTAATTATAGGTGCTTATGTCATAAATATTGATATATTTGAATTTTTGGCCCTTCAAAACAATTTCTCTTCTAACAGCAAGGGTGATATTATTTTAGCATACTAAACAAAAAGGAAAATAAAACTGAAATTCAGTGAATTCAGGCTTCCACAATAGTGCGAGTCCACCAAAACTAAACACCAAAGAGGTTTGTGTTTTTCTTTTTTTAAGAATATCGTGTGGTGATGATTTTTATTTAAAATTAATTTAAAACAGCTTCTCTGGAGTTGATGAAAGCCAAGCTCGGGGATCTTTGCCAATTCTGCTGTTCATTTGTTCCTGTGTTACCTTTTAGCCTGACTGACCAACCTTTCTGGCTGTGAAAGATTTTGGAACTAGGCCAAGGGTGGCATAGCAAGTGGTTTAGCCGTGTCCCCAGCAGGCCCAGGACTTAGAGATGCCTCTTCTATGTGCACGCAGGGCTGGCTTCTGATGGGACTTGTTTCCCACACATGCCTAGACTGGCCCAGCCCTGCTGCCTTCCAGGTAGGAAGAGGAGCAACACCAAGAGCAGACTGTCCTGGCATGCCTGCTCCACATGCTGGGAGATGAGGCCACTAGACTGCTTTCCTCTCAGTGCATATCTGAATCTTAACTGAAGAACTCAACTTCAACCACACACAATCCACAGCTGCTTCTAAGTTACTGAGCTTCTACCTCCTACCTCCTCTTTCCTGTACGAATGAGCCTCTTCTTCATGGGTTTCTCCATCAAAATCCTAGGGCTGTATCTCAGCATCTGAGAACATGGTTGGGTTCCCCAGGACCAGGCAGCTGCAGAAGCAGTTGGAGAGCAGTACAGGGGCAGCCTGGGCTTGAGTGACAGGGTTGTCATCCACAGGTCACACTCTGAGCCTGCATTGAAGAATCTGCCACTGCCCTGGCTGGTGTGGCTCAGTGGCTTGAGCGCCAGCCTGGGAACTGAAGGGTCGCCAGTTCAGGTCCCAATCAGAGCACATACCTGGGTTGTGGGCCAGGTTCCCGGTTGTGGGTGTGCAAGAGGCAACTGATCAATGTCTCTCTCCCACATGGATGTTTCTCTCCTTCTCTTTTTCCCTTCCTCTCTCTCTAAAACTAAATAAATAAACTAAAATTTAAAAAAAAGAATCCACTGCCTCATAGGCACCCAACCAAGTGGTAACTAGAAGTCAGAGAACAGAGGGGAATGGGAAAAGATTTGTACGCTGGGACACCTGTGGTTCTTAGAAAATATATCCAAGTCATTTATACAAGTAACCTCGTAGATGCATTATTAAAGGTCACATTCTTGGTGAACATAGGACTTGATGGGATAATGCAGGAACTAGTCTGAGTGGAATCCTGTTGAGTACACTGAGGAAGGTAGACTAGCAGGCCCCAAGGATTCTGGGATCTGAGAGAAAACTTGGTGAGTGACTGACTTGTGGTGAGGGCCCTCAGTCCCCAGGGCCAGCTAATCCTCTGTACTGCCCATCTCCTCCTTTTCTTCACTCATAGGAGGAAAAGAATGTCTTAGTTGGGAGTTCTCTAATGTTCTGGCTAATTTTGTGAATTACTGTATTCATATGGTTTCAGGTATGTTAAGCTACTGTGACAGATATGGTGAAAGCATGAAACGTGTCCTCAAGACTTTTGGACCCATTCCAGAGTTTTCTGGGGCCACAGTTGAAAAAGTTCATCAGGTACATGGACTGACTACAGAAAGTTATGTGGGCTGAGCAGAAGCTCTGTGTGGAGGGACATTTTATGTGCAGCTAGAATCTTTGCCTTTGGTTTTGATGGCCCCTCATCCCTAACTTAGCCCTCCACAGTTCTGCCATGGTCCTCAGAGACCTTCAGAGCAGTATGACCAATGAACTTGGAGTTCACTGTGACTTGTATCTCTCAGGAGCTGGAGTCTCTGGATTCAGAAAGCTCTTCTTCACTGAGGGTTGACTTCTCTCCTTTTGTCTTTGAAAGCAAATTCAGTTTGTACAAGTAGGACCAACAATTATACTCCTGCTAAATTACCTCCTCTTCATGCTGCTTTGTTCTTTTTTATTTTTAAAAATTTTTACTTAAAGTTGATATTCAATATTATTTTATATTAGTTTCAGGTGGACAGCATAGTGGTTAGACAATTATATCATTTACAAAGTGATCCCGCTGGTAAGTCTAGTGCTCACCTAACACCATATGTAGTTATTACACTATTGTTGACTCTATCCCCTGTGCTGTGCTTTACATTCCCATGAATGTTTTGTAACTACCAATTTTTACTTCTTACCCCTTAATCTTTTTCACCTATCCCCTAAGTCCCTTGCCCATCTAGCAACCAATGGTTTTAGTATCTTTATAAGTTTTTTTCTATATTGTTTATTTGGTTTTTTAGATTCCAAATGTAAATGAAATCATATGCTATTTGCCTTTCTCTGTCTGACTTAATTTCATAGCATAATACCCTCTTGATCCATCCATATTGTCACAGATACTAAGGTTTTATTCTTTTTTTTATGGCTGAGTAATATTCTATGGTATTTATGTACCATCTCTTCTTTATCCATTCGTATATTGATGGGCACTTGCGTTGATTTTATACTTGACTATTGTAAATAATGCTGCAATGAATATAAGGATATCGTTTTGAATTTGTGTTTTGACTTTTTCCAGGTAAATACCCAGAAGTGGAATTGCTGGGTCATATGGTAGTTCCATTTTTTAATTTTTTGAGAAACCTCAGTACTGTTTTCCACAATGGCTGCACCAATTTGCAATCCCACTGCCAGTTCCCAAGGGTTCCCTTTTCTCCACATCCTCACTAACACTTGTTGTTTGGTGAATGATTAATGGTAGCCAGCCTGGCAGGTATGAGGTGATATTTCATTTTGGTTTTAATTTTCATTTTTCTGATGATTAGTGATGTTGAGCATCTTTTCATATGTCTTTTGGCCATCTGCATGTCCTGTTTGGAGAAGTATCTATTCAGGTCCTCTGCCCTTTTTTTAACTTGATTATTTGGGTTTTTTGGCGTTAAATTGTATGAGTTCTTTATAAATTTTGGATATTAACATTTATATGTTTTGGATGTTAATTTGATATTCATCAGATGTATCACTGGTGAATATGTTCTCCTATTTGGTAGATTGTCTTTTTGTTTTCTTGATGGTTTTCTTTGCTGTGCAAAATTTCTTAGTTTGATATAGCCCCATTTATTTTTTTCTTGTTGTCTTGTCTTTTCCCTGTACCCAGGCCATGTGTGTGAAAGTCCCAGCTGACCCTGAGCACTTGGCTGCCAGGAGGCAGTGGAGGGAGCAGTGCCTCATGAGACTTGCCAAACTGAAGAGTCAGATGCCGTCCCAGTGAAGTATTTTATAATGCTGTCACTCCCCGCAGAGGAAGTCCTAGCTGATTGAATTATAAGGACTTAATCTTATTGCTTGAAACAGTAGCAGCCACGGAGATGCCTTAATGTGCAAGTTCTGAACCTGGTCTCTGGTTAGCACTAGTCCAGTCACTTCTGATTGTGCCCTAGATGTGGGTGTCAAAGCAGCACTTGGGTTCTGAGGGCTGTTGATTTCCTGCCACCTGGGCAAGCAAATCGTCGCAAGATTATCACATTTTATTTTTCAGTGTGATTATGCAGCCTACATTTTATAGCTAATGATTGTTTCAAATCATTTTAATCTGTAGCAAAATATTTTTATGATTATTTCTAATCTCTCTCTGAGTATTCTGTGGCCCTGCATTTTTGAGTCAACTACCTACCTTCATTTTGCCAATGCTTATTCTGAATAAAAGTTTTTGGTTCCATATAGTTGTGCTTTTTCTTCTTATCTTTCTGAGAAAAACAGTGTTTGAGCCTGATGATCGACATGTTTTAAAGAGACCTAATGAATGACTAAGAAGCAAATACTCCATTCTGGGTCCTTTCTCTTTCATTCAGAAAAATCCATGCATTTGGACCAGTGTTTCCTAAAGCATGTTCCACAGTGCCTTGTGGCTCTGCAGTCAGCTGTGTTTGGGAAACCATGGACCACCTGCCCGTGGGCACTCACATCTGTTGGAATTTAGGGCTCCACCTTCTGAGTAAAGACCTGGTTTTTTTTTTAATCCTCACTCAAAGATATGTTTTTATAGATCTGAGAAAGGCAGGCAGGCAGGCAGACATCAGTGTGAGAGGGAAACATTGATCTGTTGCCTCCTGTACATGCCCCGAACTGTGATCGAACCTACAACCTTTTGGTGTCTGGGATGATGCTCCAACCAACTGAGCCACCCAGCAAGGGCAAGATACCTGTTTAACTTCACCCAACACCCTGTCATCTCCTTTGATATGGAAGTCTGTTCCTAGCACTAGCTCTCCAAATACTCTGGGAAATAATACAAAAGTCCCCCCACCACATAGGGCCAGCACGTCACAGTAACTTCGATCATAGTAACTTCGATCACAGTAACTTCGATCACTGGATGCCTCTGCAGGACCCCCGACAGCTTCCAGCCCAAATGATGCTCCAGCCTTTTTATTTTGCATGAGCAGCTTCCCAGCTTAACCCAGCTGGAGCCAAGGCTGCGGTGGTGCTGGAACCAGCATCCCCAACTGGGAACCATGTGGAAGTGGTATTTCCAACTAAGTGTGCACATCACTCCCCTATCACATGTACTTACTTGTTTAATTTTATTTTATTAGTTTAAAAAATTATTTAATTTTCAGTTATAGTTGACATACAATATTATTAGTTTTAGGTGTACAGCATAGTAATTAGACATTTATATAACTTACGAAGTGATCCCCTCATAAGTCTAGTACCCACCTGACACCATACATAGTAATTGCAATATTATTGACTACCCTGTGTTGTCCTCGACATCTCTGTGACTGTGTTTATAACTGGCAACTTGTACTTCTTAATCCCTTCCTTTTACACCCTTCCCCACACACATCCATTAATGAAACAACATCCATTGAGCAGCTATGATGCACAAGGAATCTCACACATGGTCACTGCCTTTCAGAAGTTTGTTGTAAGACATCAAACATTAGAATAAAATAGGACGGTGCTCTACAGGGCCATATTCACAGGAGATCACAACTACCTGCCCCCGGGTGTTTCCTGGAAGCCCTCATAGCAGGCAACCTTTGAGGTGAGTCTTGAGCCTTCCTGGCTGAGGGAGCAAGGAAGAGTGCTAGGCATCCTGGGAGGGGGAGTGGCTGCAGCCTGAAAGAGGGGAGGCTGGAGTAGGGCAGACCCAGGCAACAGAGATCCTTGGGGGCCGCATCAATGGTCAGACCTCACATAGAGCTTTGGGGAGCCTACACAGTCTAGGTCACAAGTGATCCAGTCACCAGGATTTCAGGAAGTTCCTTCTGACAATGGAAGGAACTGAGCAGGAGGCAGAGCCAGTTGTGGTCCACCTGGGGGCTGATACGTGAATGCGGAAAGCATCCCAGAGGTAGGACTGAGTCATCAGGTAATCTGAGAAAGGTGACATCAGAGCCTCAAAGAGTGTCAGCTCCTGCCACTGTGCAGATACAATACCATGTTACAAGAGGGCCAGGAAATTTGAATGTCCCAGATATTAAACTTCCTGGAAAAGATGCGGCAAAACGTGAAGGAGGTTGTCAGTCCTGAAAGGGTCCTTCTTCATCTGATTAAGTTGTAGATTTTCTTTAAACTCTGAAGACTCAGTCTCTCCCTCTGTGGCCTGTTGGCCGGCTGTTTCTCTGGGCCACAGTCAAGCCCTTGTTTCTCCCTATAGCTTCTGGCTCTTGCTTATTTCCCCCTATTGTCTCCTCAAAATCTCTGTGCTATGCTCAGTGCCTGCCTGATTCCTTCCCTTAGGAGCACACAAAGGCTGCCCCCTGACCCTAGACCCAGGTTTGGGATCACCGATATACAGATGACCTAACTGGGGGACATGGGGTGTTAGCGGGTGCCACACAGACATGACTCGTTGGTGTCTCAGCACTGATGAGCCACACGGATCCCAGAAGGAGTGTCCAGGTAAGGTGGTCCAGGCCAGTAGGAGAGCAAGGCCGGCACATGCTGGGGTCCCTGTGGTGAGGTGGGTGCAGACAGTTTGGATCACATTCATTTATGTGTTTAAGTTCTGTTTCCCCACCTTTGCTGTGCAGTGCTGTTGTGTGCATATCAGGTCTGTTCTGAGAGACACCAGCAGAAGTGCTTCTCGGTTTTGCCTGTAGCCATCACAAGGTGTAATGAGGCAGTCACTGAGAGTGATGGCCTGAGAGAAGGCCAGAGAGCCCGTGTTTTGACTCTGATCTAAGGGCAGTAAAATTGGACCTTCCCAGCAAGAACAACATAGAAGATATTTGTGGCTCTGGGACCAGCGGCAGGAAGACAATTATGGAAATTGCTGGATAGAGTGAGGAATGAGTCCAGCAGGGAGCTAAAGGAAGGGCCAGGTGTGTGAACGTGACCTCCCAAGGACCCCAAGCAACCATTGAAATAAATTGCAAGACAAATGGGCAGCTTCAGCTTGCAGGATTCCTTTCTGCTCTGCATTTTATCATCCTTGGGGGCTACTTGCTTACATGAGTTTAGCAACTGTGTAAGCTCATGTACCAGTTTTCCAATTAATATCCTCTTTCTGTACCAGGATTCTGCCACACTGCATTTCATTGCTGTCTCTTCCTCTCTGGTCTGGGACAGCTTCTCAGTCATGCTTTGCTTTTCATGACCCCGATTGTTGTAGGAGTCCTGGCCAGGTAGTCTGCAGAATGTCACCAGTGTGAGACTGTCTGATGTTTTCTCATGGTTAGCTACACTGGAATTAGATTTTGGGAAGAATTCCCCAGAGGTGAAGTGTCTTCTATGAGGGGCTATGTGACACTTCTGGGGCCATCAGAAGGACCAGCCCAGCTGGATATTGTCCTAACTGGTTTCTGAGTCCTTTTCTCAGAATTCCAAAGCTGTCTGTCTTCATCCCCTGTGTAATACATACATAGTTTCTCTCAGGTTGATCTCTGCTTCCAAATGCCTTTTTCCCCAAAGCCCCAGTCCAGTTCCATGAATATAGGACCCATGGTTTCCCCTTCTGCTTGCTTCAGCTTAGCCTCTTAGTGCTCCTGCAGGGCCGAAGGCAGTTCCAGGTTCAAAGGAACAGATTTCAGACTGTTTCTGTGGAAGTCGCAGAAAGATGCCAAAGGTGGAGCTAACAGTGGGATCCTTATTCATGTCTGGGTCTTGCTTGGTTTGTAGGTGCATGTGTAGCTGATGAAATACAAGGTGCTTTTCCCATGCTAATCAAACTTGCAAGACTGAAATAAAAACCAGAATGCCTCTTTTATTTATTTTCTTTTTTTAAAAAAGATTTTATTTATTTATTTTTAGAGAGGATGGAAGGGGGGAGAAAGAGAGGGAGAGAAACTGATGTGTGGTTGCCTCTCATGTGACCCCTACTGGAGGCCTGTCCTGTAACCCAGGCGTGTGCCCTGACTGGGAATTGAACCAACAGCCCTTTGCTTCGCAGGCCAGCGCTCAATCCACTGAGCTACACCAGCCAGGGTTGTTTCATTCGATTTCAGTTGATCTATTCATCAAGCATTTATGGAGCATCTATTGTGTGCTGGGCACTGTTCTAAGTGCTGGAGACACACTAGTAAACAGGCAAAAACTACCTGCCTGAATGAAGCTTATTCTGTAGTTCTAGTAGGAAACAGCAAAATATAAACCAGTCAATATGCAAAGTGTAGAAAATGTCAGAAGGTGATCTGTTATGTGGCTAAAAATACAACAGGGGAAAACAATAGGGAGCACAATAGGTAGTGTGTGTGTGTTGGGGGGATGTATACAGTTTTGGGGAAGCAATCAAGGAAGGCACAATGAGAAGATGACAGTTGAGCAGAGACCTTCAAAGGAAGTGAGTGATGACACCATGGAGAGATCTAAAGAAGAATGCTTCAGGGAAGAGGAACAAAAGTGCATAGGCCCAGGGCTGGGGGCTGAAGAGCAGCAGGGATGAGGCCGAGGGCAAGCTCCGGCCATGAAGTTCAGTCTGAAGACTGGCTTTTTCTCTGCACAAGAACAGAGGACAGAGAGATTTTTAAAAATTTATTTATTTTATTTTTTAAAATTTGTTTTTCAATCCTTACCTGAGGATCTGAGAGTTTTGGGTTTTTTACAATTGATTTTAGAGAGAGAAGAAGGGAGAGGGAGAGAAACATCAATCAGTTGTTCCCTCTCCCTGGTACGTACCCTGACAGCGGAACAAACCTGCAACCTTTTGTTCCATGGAATGATGTTCCAACCAACTGAGCCACCCATCTAGGGAGAGAGCATTTTTTTTTAATTTGTAGTAATGAATAAATAACTCAAGGTGAGATTTACCTTCTTAAAGTATTAAGTACACAGTACAATATTGGTAACTATAGGCACAGTGTTGAATAGTAGGTCCCTAGATTCATCCTGCATAATTGAAACTTTGTACCCATTGAACAGAAACTCCCCTTTTTCTCTCCTGCAGCCCCTGGCAACCACCATCCTCTCTGCTTCTATGAGTTTGACTATATGAATAGATTGTGACATATTTGTCTTTTTGTGACTGCCTTGTTCAACTTACCATAATGTCCTCAGGGTTCATCCACATTGTAGCATATTGGCAGGATTTCCTTCTGTATAAGGATGGATAATGTTCAGTTGTATGTATATATCACATTTTCTTTATCCACTTATCTGTCTATCGATGGACATCTGGAATGTCTTCACATCTTGGCTGTTATGAGTAATGCTACAGTGAACGTTGGGGTACAAATTTCTCTTCAAGATCCTGATTTC